GTACCAAACACACACACACACACACACACACACACACACACACACACAAAAAAAAAAACAATACCAACAAAGCAAGAAGTAATTTATCTGGGTTCAATTCCTGGTACTGTCTGAAAAAGAAATAGTGATTTATCGGCCGGGTAACAAATCCACCAGCGAACGGAGAAGAGAGGAAGGAAGCCTCCTCCACCCCGGGTCCTCCTTCCAGAGGCGCCCACTGTGTTCTCCAGCAGGAGCCCTTCCGGACTTTCCTCAGCGTTTATACCAGTAGTCTGTGTCTTGTTTCTTGTTTGGCTCTTTACAATGGGATCCCATTCTACACACCGGATCCTCAACTTCCTATTTCTGGTCCACTCAGTGAAAGCAGGGCTCAGAGGGAAGAGGAGTTACAGAGGAAGCTGTTCACTACTGCAGACTCACTCTGCAGCAAACTCCGGCGTGAGTCTGCCCTCCAAGGGGCCCTTCCTGCCCCTGCGGGTGACAAGCCACACGGCCCTGTTGCTGTGTGTGTGCTCCGTGTTCCTCTGCCTGTGACGCCCGGAGGTGACAGTCACAAATTCTGCAGTGTGAATCGACTCCCAGAGAATCCGCATGTGTGTCCAAGTGTGGACGTCAGGGAGCGGCTCACAGCCCTGCAGGGCCCATGCTGTGCACTCCCCCCCTAGACTGCTCTTTGGGGAGTTGTACGATAGATGGGGTGATGTAGGTGTGAGGTTAAAGCTAAAACATTTGGTTTGAGATAGGTCTTAGGTCTTGTGTGTTACCTGAGTTAGCCTTCAGCTCTGCCTGGGCTCAGGTGATCCTCCTGCCTCAGCCTCCTTAGCAGCTGGGGCCATGGGCACCACCACAATGCCTAGCTCATTTCTTTCCTATTTTGCCCCAATATGATACGGTACATTCTCTCTTAAGGAGCATTAGTCTTAAAAGATGCAGTTGGCTTAATTTTACTGCTTTCTGGGTGCACAGAGCACTGAGGTCTTTCTTCCAGTTGTTGCATGTGCTTTCTCTTCAGAGCTGTGTAGTAGGCCAGCACGTGGGTGTGCCTCATTAGTGCTGGAGTTTTGTTACTGTGGATGCTGTTGAACAGACACCTTCCTGGGAACACATTCGTGTATTTCTCCGGGGGAGACGCCTAGGGTGGACGGGCCTTTTTCTTGGTTCATTCTCTGACTAGGGAGATGGAACAGTTAGCTTTAAGGGGAACAGATTGGATTTGACAGAGTCTTACTGATGTAGGGTTGTCTCGCTGACACTGTTTTCAAATCTCTTTCAGACCTTACAGGAAAAAAAAGTGATTCCCTGTCCTCCATTTTATGAGGCGGATCATCCCGTGAGAGGTAACACTTTTTTCCTGATTCAGGCCAGTCCTCTGCGCTGGCAGTGTGTAATCTGAGAGCACAGTGGCCAGGCTGCCATGAGCTGCTTTAGGCTGGCTTGGTGCGTGGTGTGGCCGCCTACTGAGTGGCTGCTTGTGTGCTTTCAGTGCTGGACGTGCTGTGGATCGGGACCTATGTCTTCACCATCGTCTATGCCGCTGCAGATGGGACCTTGGAGACGTCTCCAGAGGTGGTGATGGCGCTGCTTCCGGTACGCTGAGCGAGAGGAAGGGATACCACGTTTGTGGGGAGCTGGAGCAGTGAGCTGGTACGGTTAGAGACCAGGCTTCGGGCTCCCTCACTCTGGCAGTGCCGGTACAGGTTCGGGTGTGAGGTTTCAGGGCTGCGCCGTGGGCCTAGGGACTAGAATTGGGGCGTGGTAGATACCAGGTAAAACAGTGTGATAAAACTTGCTGTTCTGCAAACTGTAAAGTGACTGAGTCTTGGTTAACTTGATGAGAAATTTTAGAAAAGGAAGAGATTACTTTGATTTCTCTACTGAAGATGCGAGTGATGTGTGAGTCCTTGCTTTACAGCTGGGAATGCGGAGGCGACCAAGCAGACCTGCTTTCCCTCATGCTGGTGGGTGCTGCTGCGGGTGGAGGTGTGGCCCGCCCACCTGGAGAGAGGGGCCAGGCGGGCAGTCCGGGAGGACTCTGGGGAGGAGCCTTGGAGCAGAGAGCCAAGTGGAGAGGGGAGGGAGTGGTTTTGAAGATAAGGGAAACACATTATTAATAACGAAGACTGCAGAGAAGTGGTACTAAGCTACAGTAGGATTTTGAAAAGCAAAGGAGGCAGTTTTCAGATCAGAATTACCTTTCAAAGATTACAACATGAGGACTGGGAACTTAGCTCAGTGGTGCCGCCACCTGCCTCACAAGTGCAAGGTCCCAAGTTCAGTTCCCAGTATGAAGACCACAACAGCATATAAAAGTACTTATCAGTACAAAGACCCAAGGTAGGCATGGTGGTGCATGCATGTAATCCCAGTTCTTGGGAGGCTGAGGCAAGAGTATTGCTACAGGCTTGAGTTCAGACTGGACCACAGGAGACAAAAAAGACCTACCAGAAAGCCCTTTGAAATCAGTTTAACTCTACCATTTAGACATGATTTGTTACTTTAGTATACATGTCAGAATCCTTATTCATTTATTCATTCATTTATTTTGGGACTGGGGATTGAACCCAGCACCTTCACTCTGAGTCTTTGCCAGTCCTTTTTTATTCTGAGACAAGGTCTCACCAAGTCATTAAATGGCCTACGCTGGCTTTGAGTTGTGATCCTCCCGCCTCGGCCTCCTGTGTGGCTGGGATGACAGGCCTGCACCTCACAGCTGGCTGAGGGATAATATTAGCACTAGCATGGAGGTTTCCGGAGAGATGCTGAATAGGTATCATTTTGTGTCACATTCAGAACAGACGCTGCAGGACTTCTCGGGTCTTTGTACCCTGAGAAAACTGAGAAGCAGGGAGGATGAGTAACCTGGTCATGAGTGTCCCGTGGCTCCAGGGTGACAGAGTGGAGCTCGGATTGTCTCAGTTGATGGCCCGCGTTTCTGTAACTTGCACTCCTCCATCCCACCTTTATGTCTTGACTCAGAGTGAATTTTTCTCCTTAAAATTAAATGGCTTTCTCTTTGAGATTTACTGTAGGATTCAAGAAAAATTGCACCTAAAAAAATGTTCTTGCTCTGCTCATGGTAGAAAAAGGAAGAGAAGCACCCAGAGATCTTTGTGAACTTCATGGAGCCTTGCTATGGCAGCTGTGCCGAGAGGCAGCACCATTACTACCTCAGCTACGTGGAGGAGTGGTGAGCAGCACTTCCTGTCACTATCGGGTCACCCCTGTGGCACTGGTCATACTCAGGAACTTTTTCTCTTTCCCCAGTCTTGAGATGTTTAGATTAGATATGTATGCACTAATCTAAAAAATCCAGTTTGCTCAATAAGCCCGGTGATGAGTCATGTTTAAAAAAACAAATTAAGACTCTGAAGCAGGCCTGTGATCCCCGAGGGAGGCTGAGGCAGGAGGATTGCTATGAGTTTCAGGCTAGTTTCCCTTTGAAAACTGGATTACCTGAAGCAGCCTCTCCTGAGGCGGCCTCTGTGCTTTGGGGTGGGGCCTGGCAGGGCTGCGTCTCTATTTGCCTGTGTCTTCTGTGAACTAGGCGGTGGGTGGGCTCTCCAGGGCTTCACCCAGTACTGTGGAGCTCAGCCGGACATCAGACCACCCCCTCGAGCTGAGTGGGCGGCTCCTGTAGACATCCACAGGTGCCACCCTGGGCCGGGCCAGGTCAGAGCTGTCGGGGTGCTCCGTGTCATGGTCCTCTGCTCTCCTCCTCCAGGGATCTGGTGTTGGCAGCATCCGCAGCTTCAACAGAAGTCAGTATCCTTGCTCGGCAAAGCGACCAGGTACGTCTTCTCGTGTTTCCTACACTGTGAGATACGTGTGTTTCAGAGGCCGTTTCTGGAGGGAATTCACCGGGTGTTGTCCTGGAGACCAGAGTCCCGTGCAGTAGGACCAGTATCGGTGTGCTGGGTGTGGGAGGCTTCTCCAGGGTTTTTTGTTTTGTTTTGTTTTGTTTTTTCTTTCTTTTGGTCCCAGGGATCAAACTCAGGTCCTTGTGCCTGTGAGACAGGCAGCGGCACCACTGAGCTAAATCCCCAGCCATCTCTGGGGGGTTTCTGCGGTACCGTCTTTTGTTTTTCCTTCTACTCTACACAGTTAACTACAGCCTGTCCTCAGTTAGAGAAGAGAGATGTGCAGACCACAGCAGTGTGCCCCGTCAGAAGTACAGAAGCTCCCTACTTGAGAGGAGGTTGGGGGTCCAGCCCCGCATGCCTGCCGGAAGGCAGAACTGCCCTAATTCAGACCCGCACTCAATGCACCCAACCCCCAACCAGCACAGGTCGTGGCGGAGTGCGCTGTAGTGGACAGTGTTGCCCCGTGGCCCTCCGGCCGGCCGGCTGAGCGGTGGCCTGCTGTCTCCGCCCGGCACGGGAGAATCAGGCAGCCCAGCGTGAGGGTGCCTTCCACCGAAGGCTGGCGCCTCCTCCTCCTCCTCCTAGCGCTGGAAAATCCCCAGCTGAGCTGTGACAAGCGTGTGACCGGCTGCGCTTTCTGTGTGACCTTGAAAACCCAGAGAAAGAGAGAAGTGCCTGGCCGTGAGAACACCTTCTCCATGCCACCTTCTGTAGGGACAGGACCGAGGTGGGCAGGCCGCCCAGTACAGGCTGTGCCGGGTGACTGCAGAGGAGGGGCCACGAAAGGGAAGCCTTTGCTTTTTAAAGCTGCTTTGAATTTCAGAGTTTTGTATCCCCGTGAGTATAAGGACCATGCACTTTCCCTCCTGTGCACAGGTACTTTGTGCCCCTGCAACCTCCCAGCATTTACCCATTGTCACCTGGGTGGCAGCGGCCCCGGGTGTCTGGGATGGGCCCCTCTGCAGTCAGTGGCTGGAGGTCAGCAGTCTTGATTTGCTACTCTAGAGCTATCTTAAATCGGTGTTGACAGCAGTCTCTTATTAGCACAGCAGTTTATATATTCACAAGTTAAAGTGGACTTGTTTGCACTTTTTTCCCTCTCTCTCTCTCTCTTTTTCGGTACCGGGACCGAACTTGGGACCCTTGCACTTTTGAAGCAGGCAGGGGAACCACTGAGCTAAATCCTCAGCTTTTATGTTTACTTTCTTTCACATTAATGTATGTACATACATTTAAAAAATGAGATGGTGGTTCTGGCGCCTGCAAGGATTCAAGTTCAGTCCCCGGTACCAAAAAAAAAAATTCAAATAGAAGGGAAGGGCTTGTCAAAGAGCAGTCATCGGCCCCCAGCCCCAGGAGGGGACGTTCTCACCTTGTAAAGGTCTCCCTGCACCAGCTGCCGTGGTGCCGCACTGTGATCCAGCCTCAGAGGCCAGCCTGGGCCTATTAAATGACTCAGTGAGGCTCTTTTCAAAAATAAAAAAACAGGCTAGGTGTACAGCCCTGGGCTCAATCCCCAGTACTGCAGAAAAACAAAAGCAAAGCAAAAGAGCAGTCTCCCTATCACTAGTGATTATCAGTTTTAGACCAGGGACGTGCCGGGTTGGGATATAGCTCACAGCTAGTCCCAGACCTCCTCCTCGGCGTTGTTTGAACTTTACCTCTTCATAACTTTGTAACTCTAGTGATTCTTTCTGCATCATTTTGGTGGCGTGTCTTGATCTTCCAGTTCCTGTAGCTCCTTCCGCAATGGCTATGTCCTCTTCGTTCCTCTCTGGACTCTCAGAACCGAAACCCGTCCTGCGTGTGCCAGTGTGGCTTGTGCCTCGCTTGCTCCTTGGCTGAGCCAGGCAGCGTGTGTGCAGCCCGTTGACCGAGCAGCTTTTCTCTTGCTTTTTTATTCACTGCGCCGTTTCCCCGTGATTCAAATTGCCCAGTTCTCACCATGGAAAGCCAGACGGAGCGTCAGTGATTTTAAAACTCAGGACTCATTTGTTGGAAGGAGAAGAGCCCAGCCCCACAGATTTGAGCACAGGGGGAGAAGCCACAGACTGGGCTTCTCGTGGGATGCGGGCAGGGAGCTGAGCACTGGGGACGGGGAAGGCACACTGAGGTCCCCGCTGTCCCTGCTGTGTGCGGCTCAGTGGGACAGGCTGGTGTGACCCCCGTGCGGGAAGTAGCTGTGGTGGGGCGGGTGTGGTAGGGATTGGGCCTGTGATCACCAGGAACAGGTAGAGGAATTGGTTTGGAAAGTGAGTCGCTTGCTCTCGGATTTAATCTAGCCTTCGGGGCACCTCGAGTGAACACACAAAGCTGAACACCCTGAGGCGCCGTCTCTCTCTCTCTCTGCGCCGTCTCTCTCTCTCTGCTTCCAGGAGGGACCGGCCCAAGCTCTCAGCACCAACTCGCATTTTGTTTCTGCTCACCGCTCTTTCTGCAGGTTAATTGGGAATCTTGGCTTCTGGAGGACTCCAGTCGGGCCGAGCTGCCCGTGACAGACAAGAGTGATGACTCCCTGCCCATAGGAGTGGCCGTCGACTATACCAACCAGGTGGAGGTCGTCATCAGTGAGTGTCCTGGCTCTGGTGCGGAAGCGTACAACGGTCGGACCCTTAGCTACCTTTGGGGGACCAACGAGGAATAAAAGAGACAAACGGTTTTCAAGATACAGAAGGGTGCCCGAGAGACCCACCTCTAGCAGCCTCAATAAAACTCTGGTCTGTCCCACTTTTGTTAGCCAGCGAGAAGCGCAGGGGGACGGGTAGCACACGCTGCCTGGAACAGCAGCGTGGGGGATGGCGGAGGCCCCTGCAGTCAGGTTCCGGTCCCCACCTACCCGGAATACGACACAGGCCTGAGAAAAAAATACACTAAGAGACAGAACTAGGAGAGAGAAAGCGGGGCCAGCACGACCAAGGCCGGTGCAACCGACAAAAGCCCTGGCCGGTCCCAGGCACTGACTGTTACTGGCAATCGGTGAGGGTAAAGGTGGGCTACGTGCAGTTTCTATGGAAATGAATGTAAACAAGGCTCGGAAAGGACAAGACAAAGCTTTCCCAAATTCGGAAGAGAACAGACAAAATATATGACAGAATCAGAGCACTGTCCTTCTAGTCTGAAGGTTTTAGTTGTGGGAACGGAATTTGGATGCGAGCTGCTCTATAGCGAGCCTCTGTGGTGTTCACTCTTCACAGCCTGTGGGGCATTAACCGCCATTGCAGCCCTCTGCGGAGAATGGGTGGGATTAAAGTCAGCGAGCAAGCAGGTTCCCTCCGCCCAGTGCCTGTGTTCCCGGCTGCCCTTGCAGATGCCGTCTTGCCTCAGGAGTGCTGAGCTGTGGGCTTTCCACCCATGGCCAGTCACTTCCAGTCACTTCCTCTTCCCCGTTCCCGGGACTGAGTCCTGAGTTACCAGCCTAGTCCCTAGCAGAAGGGGTCCTCTTCCAGTCAGGAGTTAGGACGGGCCGCTCGTTGCACTCCGCGAGGGACGCAGGGGCAGCTCTGCCATTTCTAAGCCTATGTGCACGGGCTCTCACTCGGGCCTGCTGCCTGACCCTGCGTGCACATGCACAGGGGTCTGCGCTGGCTCCGAAATCTGGTTGAAATAGAACATTCAGAGTGTGGTTTCTTGGCCCATTCCAGGTCCCCAGTGGCCCCCCAGGGGGCGGTTACCTGAAATGGGACTGCACCTTGGGTGGGCAGGGGTTACAGGGACTGGAGACTGTGACTATGGGTTGCACCATGGGCCTGGCTGTATGCACTGAGTGTGTACCCTGCTCGGAGCAGGGCAGGAAGAGTTGCCTTTGGGTGCTTCCCTGCAGAGAGCTGTCCCCTGGGAGGCCCTTGTGCCTGCCCTGGTCCAGTGGACATGTTTGGTATTCCTCAGCTCCTTTCCTGAGATTCTCTCGAGTCTCCATTGGCAAAGTCCATCCTTAGGGCTAAGCTGCAAATGAACAAGGGAAGCCCAAGTTAGCTGTCTGTCCTGCTGTGTGTTTTCCAGACAGCTTGGCCTGTCTCCTTTCTTGCACACCCCTGCCTCCTGGACATGGGGACTGAACCCAGGGAGCCCAGGGAGAGGCGGGGTGCACACGGCAGGGTGCAGGGCCCCGCAGGTGGGAGCATCTGTCGGCCAGAGCTCTGGCTGAGCGAGGGTGTGTGGTGTGAGGCTGTGCACAGCTCAGGCGCTCTCTCCAGGGCAGTTTCCGCCGGCCCGGGCCCTGCGCTGGACGTGGCTCTCTGCTCACCTCTGCTCTGTTTTCACAGACGAAGAGAAGACTCTTCCTCCAGCCCCAGTTCTCCTGCTGCTTTCAACGGATGGCGTTCTTTGTCCATTTTACATGATCAATCAGAACCCCGGGGCGAGGCCCGTCATCAGGACCCCCGAGCGGCTCTCGCCAGAAGGGGAGCGACAGCCCAAATCCTCAGGTATGAGGCTCCCTGGCTTACTCAGGACAGGTGGTGGCCGTGGCCCTCACCCGGCCAGTCTGCTGCCTGAGCGTGCTCGCCTGTGTGGTCCTTTTTTGAGGAAAAATTTGTGCACAGAAAAAATACTGGAGAGACAGATGTTCAGTAGTAAATATGGCTTTCTTTGTGTTTCACTTTCTTTTATTCCCCTTCCTTCTTGAGAATAGTCCCTCAGTAGCATGTCGGTGACGAAGAGTTAGGAAAGCCCTGTCTGGAACGGGGAGGCCGGTAGCTGTCTGAGCAGCAGGGCAGCCTTTGGGATGAGCAGTGCTGGGACCTGCAACAGCAGTCCTCAGGCTGTCTCGGAAAATATCAGACTTGTTAAAGGAGTTCTTTTCGGTAATGGAATCCTGGCAGTATTTCTTTCTCTCGCTCTTTTTTTTTTTTGGTAGCAGTGATCGAACTCGGTTCCTTGCACTGGCAGGGCAGGGGCTGGAACCACTGAGCTAAATCCCCGGCCCTCTCTTTTTACATTCTGTCTGTAACTGATAAAGACTTTTGTGCTGGTGGGCTGAGAGCCACAGTGTGAGCCTGGCACCAGCGGGGTGGCATGCGTGTTCTCACCACTGCCGGAGCTGGGGTGAGGCATGGGCTCACACAGCGAGCTGCTCGGGGGAGCTGAGCTGCTCAGAGGGGAGCTGCCGCGGGGCCAAGAAGTGCTTGGGTTTGGGTAGGGACACCCATTGTGTGCAGGGTGCCCCCTTTGGGGGTGCCTCTCCCTCCCCGCCAAGGCCTGGTCTCAAGAGAAGCAGGGCAAGACAGGGCTGCTTCCCGTGAAACCCCGGGCCCCTCAGGCTGCAGTGGGTGTGAGAGCCGTGTGCGCAGGGAGGGGAGAAGTCCGCCCCGCCACCTGCCAGGTCCGGCTGAGGCCTGAGTCGCGGGGTAGAACACAGTCATGATTCCATCCCTCTTCTGCTACTGCCCAGGGCTCCTGTGTTGAGTGACTGGTAGTAGGAGAGGGAGATGGTTTTCAGATGTTCAGTTCTATTTCCACTAGCGAAAATGCCTGAGATTTCTTTACCTTCTGTCATATGTTCTTTGCATTTAGCTACCTAATATGTACAGAAATTACTTACAACTCTGTGTTTGTGTCTTTAAAGAAGTTAGCATTAGCTGGGTATCGTGGTAGATGCCAGTAATTCTAGCATTCTGGGAAGCTGAGGCAGGACGATTGCAAGTTTGAGCCCAGCTTGAGCAACTTAGCAAGAATTTATCTGAAGAAAAATATTTTTAAAAGGCCGGGTGTGGTGGCGTCCTCCTGTAATCCCAGCACTCAGGAGGCTGAGGCAGAGGGGTCACTATGAATTTGAGGCCAGCCTGGCTACATAGACTGTTTCAAAAAAATAAAAAGAGCTGGAGGCGTATCGGTGTGAAGGCCCTGAGCTTAATTCCTAAAAAAGAGGAGAAACTGTTCCTGGCTCTGTATCTGTAGCATAAGGGAAGCAGCATTGGCAGAGGAGGTTTGCTTGCGGTGGTGTCGTTTGGTAGACATGACAGTGGTCTTTGTTTTCAGAAGGTGACATTTCACACTCCTGTCCTGCAGGCTTTAGGCAGCGTCTTTCATGAGATGAGCTGTTGATTTCAGTGAGAAGAACCAGGCCTATTAATTTTTTTTCTTTTTTCTTTTTTTTTTTTTTTTTTTTTTTTTTTC